CAGTTTCTATTCATTTGTTCTTATGCCAAATGTTCTTCTATCCTTGAGCTCAATTATTTTCCCTTCCTGGTGTTTACCCTCATCTTTTCATTATGAATATGTTAAGTAAAATTAGTCCCTAGACTAAATTTTGATGAACTCCGTTAAACTACTTGCCTCCAGCCTACTACTACTCCTTTTAACACTAACCACTATCATGTCCCCTTCAGCGAGTTCCTTACTCACATTGTAATTCTTTTATTAATCTGTATCTTATCCAGTTTAGCTAATAATTTCCTATGTGACTCTGTAAAAATTCTTTACTGAAGTCCAGATAGATGAGATCTTTTACATTTCCTTTGGCTAGAAAATTAGTTACCTGATCAAAGAAAATTATCTAGTTAGCAAAATCTACCGAGAATACTTTTTATTATGTTTTCTTTTTCCTTGCATGACTTCAGTTATTCTTTCCTTCAAAGTTGTTCTCAAATACTTTCATACTATTGCAGGAATATCAAATTAATGGGTCTGACAGTGTCCTAATCACCATCCCCAACCCTCCAGGTTATATTTACATATTCTGTGCCTTAATCTCAAATCATACGATTTCACTCTGAACTTGATATATTATTAAAATTCTTGCTATTGAACTATCTATGTGCCAGGTCTGTCAGCATTTGGTCTCCTTGATTTAAGTGCATTAAGTTTGCGTTTTACTTCTTTCTACTTTAGTTGTAGAAATTTTCATTTCTATATCCTTGTTTTCATTAGACATCCTGTTCTGACCACCGGGTTCAACATTATTGACAACTGAAGGTGTGTATAGAAGTTGTTTTTTTCACCATTTCGAATGCTTTATTGCCATGATTTAACAGAAGCTCATGAATTTATAGGACTTTACAAATATGTACAGTGCTTTAAATTAACCCTTGTTAAATGAGGTATTAAATTTGAAGTGCTGTATTTTACAGCACTTTAACAAACCTACAGCCTTTTAAATAACTTCTGTATGGTGGTCAAATTTCTGACCAGTGAAAATGCTTCAGGAGGCTGTGGAAAGTGCAGGGAGCCTCAGAGGCCCCCGGCCTCACCTGTCACCAAACAGTACACTTTTCTTGTTTAAGAACACTGTAACTTTACAGTGCTATAAAAAGTGCTCTAAATTATAGCACTATAAAATGTGTATGCAGCACTTCTGTATACACTTGAGGCTAAGCATTTATTTAGTTTTGCAATTACAGCTAGATCAGGGGTGGGCAATTATTTGGTCTGGATGGCCACTTAATGAGTTTTGATGAGTTGTTGAGGGCTTGGAGCTCCCCTCAACCCCTAGGCCAGCATGAACTCACCTTGTAGCAGTGCCTGGGTGGGGTGGGGAGAGGATGGATGTGATGGGGCAGAGGAATCTGTGTGCTGTGTGACTTGGCCTAGATCTGGCTGTAGCAGAGTGGAGTGGCACAGGGTGTAGCCCTTCCTTCTCAGGTTTCTAGCGGTGGCCAACAGGCTGGATAAGATCAATTATCATCTCCTCCCCACCCCCTGCTTTGCCTCCCTGTAGCCCTCAACAGCTCACTAAAACTTGTTAAGTGGCCATCCAGCCCAAATAACTGCTGCCCCCTGTCAGGGTGCAGTGCCAGGACTGCACAGTGCCAACAGGAAGTCGAGTGGGAGAGGTGGGATGAATATTTTGCCTACTCCTAGATAGGGCGCTAGATGATATTGTATCTTTACCCCACTCTCACTTCATAGCAGTCTTTCTTTCATTAAATTATTTAGTTACATGGCTGAAGATCCTTTTCCTATTGTTTAAATTCCCTTTACAAGTTCTAATACAGATTGATGTTTGGTAATGTTCACTTTATTCCTATACTTCTTGACCTGAACTACATAGTTTTCTTGTGAACTGTCATGAATATGTCCTTTAGAGTTTATGCTCATTACTAACATCCTAAAGGTAGGCAGAAGGCAGGGCAGAGTATCACCTTATTGACTAATTAATTCAGAGAGCCTTAAGCTTTTGTACGTGACAGTTTACTTCATCAGATGCTCATCTTAAAAGTAGTTATTCATCCAGGTATGTCAGCCCCTCCCTGCAAGTTTTTCTTCCTTGCTTCAGATAATTTTGGCACTTATGGGCATGTCCGCACATGCAAGCACGTGCACTTGCAGCAGCTCAAATAGAAGCAGTGAAAATTTGAGCCTGGGCTTTTTGCCTCAGTGCATGTGCCCAGACATGCACTTTGGTATGGGGCAAATTGTGCCACTTGGGGCAAAATAACCCTGCCTCGCTCCTCCCAGTTCTGCAGCCACGGCGAGCTAGAGCCCAGGGCCAGCACCTGTGCTGTCCCCAGAAGTATAAAAAGCTGCCATGTCCTGATCCCATCAGTACAAAAACCTGCCCTGGCAAGTAGCTCGGGGTTACTTACTCTCAAGAGTTTCTGGGGACCAGCCAATTGGTACCTGGGGACACGACCCCTTGTGCCAGCTGGACTGGTGAAGTAGCCCTGAGATTTCCCTTCACCCTCTACCCACTGCAGCAGTCTGGCAGTGGGGGATGCTGCCTGCACATGACATGCTGTGCACCTGCCAGACCTGGATAGGAACTGCACAGCCAGCACAGGCATCTGCCCCTCAGGGCTAGCTGTCGGTGGGCTGTGGCTGCAGGGTTGGCCTTTGTGCAGCACTACTGCCATGTGTGTCCCTGCCCAGCCATCTGGGCAGCTATCACCTGGAAGATGTTCTGCATGTGGTGGCCTGCTTTGAACCATCAAAGCATGTCCTCCTGGCCCTAACTGGCCAGGAGGTCATCCACCTCCAGCTGGATCCAAGGTGCCAGCTGTGACCATGCCCCCTGGATTCCTGTAACACCTGGCCCCATTCCCTGCTGGCTCCTCCAGCCCCCCCAATAGCTGCCCCACCCAGCCCCATCTCCTGCTTGCACACCCAGCCCCATGATGGCTGCCCCCCCCACCTCAATCACTTATAGAAAAAAAAGGAAAAAAAAGCTTCTACTCACCAGCAGTAGCAGGGGCTGTGGGGCCTCTGGGGCCTTCTGACAGATCCCCCCCCATGCAGCATGGGGCAGCAGGGGGCAGTGGGGCCCAGGCTGGGGCCATAACCCAGCCCTGCACTGTCCAGGAGGGCTCAGTGAAACCAAATGGCAGGTGGTAGTTCTTGTGAGCGTGGGGGGGTTGTTGTTTTTTTTAATTACCGGGATGCAGGGGACCAGAGGGGCAGTGATGGGTGTGCTCAGGGAGCTGGGAGGGATGGGGCCAGACAAAGCAGTGATGTAGGGGTTCAGGGGCAGGTGGGGGGGTGGGGTCAGGCGGAGC